TACAGGTTTCTACTTGTTTATTTCTAGTATATAGGAATCCATTTTATTTATATTAATATTGTACTCCTAGAACTCTAGACCTATCTAAACTCACTAGTCTGGTACCTTTTAAATAGATTCTATATAATCATGGTGTCTGAAAATGGAGATACTTATTTCTTCTTTTCCAGTTTGTTTTTTGCTTGTTTGCTTATTTCTTTTAAGCCTTCCAAAAAGTTGTTGCATGGAAGAGTTGAGAGGTAATGTCTTAGCCTTTTTCTTGATCTTAGGAATTAGTCTTTTTTTTTTTTTTTTTTTTTTGTGGTACTGGAGATTGAACACAGAGCTTGGTGCATGCTAGACATGTGCTCTGCCACTAAGCTATGTCCCCAGCCCAGTCTTTTAGGTGTTATATTAGCTGGAGGTTTTTGTCACAGCCTTTATATGAAGTTCAGGGAAATCCCTCTGTTCTTAGTTTGCTGCAAAATTTTCACAATAAATGGATGTTGCATTTTCTTAAATGCTTTTTTTCTGCATGTATTAAAATAGTCATGTAGTTTTTCTACTTATTACTCATTCATTTTCAAATGTTGGAGTAACATTGCATTCTTGATAAATCGAATTGATCATGATATATTCTCATATATAGTATTCTACTTGTTAATATTGAGTTTGCATGAGGATTATTGGTCTGTTGTCTTCATGTAATATCTTTTTTTCTTATTTTGGTAACAAAATAATGATGGCCTCATAAAATGAGTTGGAAAGTGTTCTATCCTCTTTTTTTTTTCATTTTTTTTTTGAGAATTTTTAATATTTATTTATTTTTAGTTATCGGCAGACACAACATCTTTGTTTGTATGTGGTGCTGAGGATCGAACCCGGGCCGCACGCATGACAGGCGAGCGCGCTACCACTTGAGCCACATCCCCAGCCCAATGTTCTATCCTCTTTATTTTCCTAAAGTATTTGTGCAGAATTAGTGGTGGAGAATGGTGTCCTTAGTGTTTGATAGATGTAAGAGTTGAGGCCTGTTGTTATTTTGGAAGTTTTTTTTTCTTTTTAAGCTGGAATTCAGTGTTGTTAGATACAGGAATTTTGGATTTGTGTCTTTTAAGGAATTTGTCCACTTCACCCAAATTGTCACATGACATAAAGTTGTTCATAATTTTCTTTATTGTTTTACTATCATTAGAATCTGTAATCATGTCTTTAAATCCTGCAGTTAGTAATTTCTACTTTTTCTTTTCATAGTTTATTGATTTTTTGACTATTATTATTCTTTAATTTCTGTTTTTATCTTTATTATTTTCTACCTTCTTTTTGGTTTGTGTTTAATTTTCTCCTTTTTAGTTTCTTACGGTACAAACTTAGGTAACTAACTTAAGGCTTTTCTTCTTTTCCAATATAAGGATTTAATGCTCTAAATTTTCCTCTAAATGCTGCCCCAGCTTCACATTTTATTTTTTACTTTAATGATTTTTTTCCATTTTTCCCTTGTGACTTCCTTTTTTGATCCAAGGGTTGATTTCCAGCTATTTGGGGACTTCCTGAGATTATTTTGTAATTAGTTCTCATTTCACTTTGTTGTACTCTGAGAACATACTAGTGTTGTTTCAGTTCTTTTAAATTGATTGCAGTTAGTTATTGTGGCCCAGAATATGATCTATCTTAATGTATGTTCCATTTGCCATTGGAGAAAAAAGCATATTCTGCTGTTGTTGGGTAGAACATTTTATAAATGTTAGGTGAGGTTTATTAATAGAGTTATTGAGACTTTTGTATCCTTGCTGGTTTTCTTTCCACTTATTGCATTAACCAGTGAGCACAAAGTCTCTGATTGTAATTGTGGATCTGATTAGTTTTTCAGTCTACCAGTTTTGGCTTCATGTATTTTGAAGTTCTGTTGTTTTGTGTATACACATTTAATTCTATACCTTTTTAGTGAAATTACTCCTTTTATTATTTTTCAGGGGTCCTCTTTTCCTAGGTTAATTTTCTTGTTTTCGTGTCTACTTTGTTTACTTCTATTTTTTTATTTAAAATTTTTTTTTTTGTACTTGTAGATGGACAGAATGCCTTTATTTTATTTATTTTTATGTGGTGCTGAGGATCGAACCCAGTGCCTCATGCATGCTAGGCAATCTGCCCCTGAGCTACAGCCCCAGCCCCTGTTTACTTTTAATATCACCATTCCTTTCTGTTTGTTTCTGTTTTATTATTGCTTTTGAGACAGGGCCTTACCGTGTTGCTTAGACTGGATTCAAACTTGCAGTCCTCCTGCCTCAGCCTCCTTGTAGCTGGGATTATAGACATGCACTACTGGGCCCAGTTTCCAGCTTTCTTTTTATTTGTGTTGGCCTAATATTAATATATCCATTTTAGCTTAGATCATTGTTGCTTTATTCTCTAGTGTGACCATTTCTGCCTTGTTATTGGTGTGTATATGTCATGTTTCATGTAATTATTGATCAGATATTAACCCATACTTTTAGTTGCCTTCTGCTTTTTCTCCCTTCCCTTTCCTCATTATAACTTCTTCACCAATTAATTTGAAATTTCTAATGATTTCATATTATGTCCATACTTGACCTATTATGCTTCTTTTATTGTTATCTTAGTGATTATCATAGAAATTGCAATACACATTGTTGATTTCATGGGCATATGGAATATTTTTTAGGATAGATCACTAGACCATAACACAGGTCCAAATAAAAATAAATCTCAGGTCTCAATAGAATGATAAACATATACAATATATTCTCTGACCACAATTAACTGAAGCGCCTCAATAATGGGAGGAAAACTAGAAAATTCACACACTCTTAAAAATCACCGGGGCAAGACTGTGTCACAGGAAACTTAGAAAATGCTTTGGGATGAAAACAATTCTTCTGAGTTGAAGACATTTATGGTAGAAAATACCAAAAATAGTTCCCTATCCACATTAGAGGTAAAATATTACAATACTGTGTCTCTCCCAACTTAAAACAGCTTTCTTCTTCTGAAACAAATCCACGTTGAAGAAATATCCTGCAAGAAGTCCTTGTGTGTGTGCTTTTACAGGGCTGCTAAAGGTTACTTTGTTTTGGATTCCACCTAACTTTTTTTGTTCCCCCAAAAGCTATTGTTCAAAAGTCCTAAACCCTCATTCCTGCAAATGTGATCATATTTGGAATTAGGATCTTTAATCCAGTAAGATGAATTTGTACTGAATGGGATGATGGTCCTGATTCAATGTCTGGTGTCCTTATAAGAGGAGCTGGGTGTGTGCACAGGGAAAGGCTGTGTGAAGACAGAGGCCAAGATGACACCATGGCAAGCCAAGGAGTTCCAAAGCTTTCAGAGACTGCCAGAGGCTAGGAAGAGGCAAGGAAAAGCACACCCCTGGAGTCTTCAGTGAGTGTGGCTGTGTCCACACCTTGATTCCTGACTTGCCAGCTCCAGAATTGTGAGAAACATAGGTGCTGTGAGCCACGTATGTTTGAGATAATTTGTTACTGGATTCAGTCTGAGGAAACTGGTGCAGAATATAATGCCTCAAAGTATAATTCATTTTCTTTAGACAAAGGACACTTTATAGAGTCAAAATAATAGAAAACCATATTGCTTGTGGTGGATTTCAATAGTTTTAAATTGTTTCTGTAGTTCTGCAAGTCTTTAGTACAGGTGAGTGCTCATTTCTTTCACCCGATCTTTAGAGTAGAGTTCTAGTTTTACATTGTCCTATTCTGCCAAAGGCTCCCACTTCCATTTTGGGATCAGTTCATGATGTCTCCAATGCCTGAATGGCATCGCTTACCATTGAAAATGCACATAGTAAAAAAATCTAAATCTCAGAATCCCTGCCATTGCCTGGAAACTGAGGGCAATTTGGCAATAATCTTTGCTTATCAGAGGCACAGTGCTGCAGAAGGGAATTCTTAACAGTCTCACTTCTTAAGCATTCAGGAATTAATTTATCAGTGTCTTCCTTGGAGCACTGACTTACAGTGATTAATGGATGTAGATTAGAAAATGACACTGCCACTAAGTCATCAGGCTCCTGAGAAACATTGACAAGTGTATCCAGTGGAAGAAATGGGACTCCCAACTTCTTCATTGTCTGGTCTTGAAGGTTGTTGCTGTATGGATGTGCTAACTTAAGAGAACACAGCAAATAAAAGAACAAGATGCTGCCTCAGGGTGCTGAGGCATGAGAAGAGCTCCTGAGAATCCATTAATTTGTGGAGCATTTGTGGCCTCCTGCCCAAGAAGCTTTGTTGTTGTCGAAGACAAGATATCAAACCCCAGAGAAAGACCTGGCATATGGTTTTTCTAAAACTGAGAAACTCAGCGTTGGAACTCGGAAACTCCAAGTGGGGAATACTGAACAGCATCTCACTGTCTTTATGCCAGCCTTACAAGTTTGTGGTTAGAAAGATCTAGTTCTGACACAAGCACAGAAGTCTTCAGTTTCTCTCATCTCCTGCAACGGCCACTTCACAGTCGATCAATGCTAGTATACATGGGAGGTTAAGATAGTGTTTAAAAGGGTTACCCCTGTCCTTGGTCCACTGTGGTTAAGGACAGTTCTTAGGGATGTGTTTTTTAAAATATTTTTTAGTTGTAGTTGGACACAATACCTTTATTTATTTTTTATGTGGTGCTCAGGATCAAACGCAGGGCCTCACACATGCTAGGTGAGTGCTCTACCACTGAGCCACAACCCCAGGCCTCAGCGATATATTTTAAAATAAAAGTTGGTTGATCCATTTTTTCCTAAAAGTCACTCTGGCTAGGAAGTGGGGCAGCTAGCTGCTCTTGTGGCTTCTCTAGCATTGCTGCTTCAATTGAACCCACCCCGAGCCCTGATAAAATTGTAATGTGATTGTTAATAGTGTGAATAGAATTCCAGAGTATCCACATCATTATCACTGCACCACTTTTCCTTGAAACTCAGAATTTACCTTTAATTTTAACTGGCTGCTTTCACCCTCCCTCTTTCTTTCCCTTTGTCTTATAGGTGCTAATTAAAATCAACTCATGGAATCATCAAAGGAAAGTATTATTACCTCACATAATTTTTATCTCCATATGACTACCATTCCTATATCAGTTATTGAGAAGTTCCTTCCCCACTGATTGCATTGTTACTTTAAAAAATCATAAATGCAGCCGGGCATGGTGGCTCACACCTGTAATCCCAGTGGCTCTTGAGGCTGAGACAAGAGGATTGCAAGTTCAAGGCCAGCGTCAGCAACTTAAAGCAACTTAGTGAGACATTGTCTCAAAAATAAAAGGACTAAGCCTATGGCTCAGTGGTTAAGCACACCTGGGTTCAATCCCTGGTATGAAAAAAAAATCAAATGCATAGATGTGTCTTGTTTCCCAATTTCCATTGATTAATCATTTTCCAGTATTTTTTTATCAATATACTGCTTTTGTTATTATACTTTGGATGTGTATTCCATTGGAATACAGAAAGTATGGAAATAGAACAAGTTCAGCAATACAAGAAGGAATGATCCATAAGATGGCATATGTCACAGCACAAATGATCTGATTTCCCCAACAAATAACTGACAAAACAGAGGACCATTGTGATTTAAACAGATTTAGGAGGCATAACAAATTCAGTGGGTGGAACTTGTTTGGATTTTAATTCAACCAAAACAACCATTACAGGATCTTTGGAACAACAGGATAAATGGTATTCTGGACTGAGCATTACTTGATATTAAAGAAATACTGCTAACTTTTAAAAGTATGATATAGGTATATGTGAAGAAAGAACTTAATGAAGGAAATAAAGAGGAGAAGCGCCTTAACAGTAACAGGCTTATTTGGGATAAACCTGGGGAAAGGTGTCCCAGCCGAGATTGGAGCCTGTCTTCTGCTTACAGCCTAGGGGAGTGAGAGGGTGGGGGAAATTTTTGCAGTTTAGCTGTTGCTAGGGGGTTGTCAGAGAAGGATTCTTGGGGTCATCATGCCATTCTTCATGGTCACTGCTGTTCCATGTAGAACAAAATGTTTCTCAAGATTTCAGTTCAAGATAACAGGGAACAGGGTATTGTCTGGGATTAGGTCATGCTGACCATTGTTCTGCATCAGAGTGATCTAGGTGACAGTTCTAAAATGGAGGCTATGTTTCCAAATGGCATTGCCTAAGTCGAGTTGTCCCTTACAGTATAGAGATTCTTTTATTAAAAAATTTATGAAGGCTGGGGTTGTGGCTCAGTGGTAGAGCACTCACCTAGCATGTATGGAAGCACTCGGTTCGATTCTCAGGACCACATAAAAACAAAGTCCATCAAATTAAAAAAAATTTTTTTAAAGTTATGAATGCATAGATGTGATGCCTGGAATATTCCTTAAAATTTACAAGTAAGAACTGCTAATAAATGGATTCACTGATAAATGAGAGATACTAGCTAGTGCAGTAAAGAAACATTAAAAAGTATATGGCACAACCATTTAAAATGTATATGAAGATTACTTGTTAATGCAGAAAACACTAAATCAACAGATAAGTTATGGGTCTTTTTTTTTCAGATATTTCTAGCCCATCAAATCTAATGAAGACTTTAAACCTTACATTGAAGATTCCAGGATTTTGCATAACTTGCAACCTAACAAATTACCCTGACACTTTTTTGTGGATGCTGGCAAACAAGACAAAAACAAGATTTCTGGGGGTTTTGTTTGTTGGTTGGTTTTTGAGACAAAAGTCATGTTAGGACGTTTGTCTAGCATGGGCCAACCCTTGGGTTGAATCTCCAAATCCCCAACAAATAAAAACCCACCAGTCCTACTTTCTGAAAAGTAATTGTTCATTGAGTTCAACTAACTTATAGAAAAATATTCTGTATTTATGATTTCTAGAGCGGCTGGTTGTAGATGAAAACAGTTTTGAGCTGGGGAAGGGAGGTATGGAAAAGTGAAAGGACGAAAAGTTAAAGCGCTGAGGACGCTGTGAACCAAACGCACTTACATATTTTTAGAAATAAAAGTGACAACCTTGCATAAGAGCTACTTTGCTGGCGATTCTGGGAAGTGTGGTCCAGAAGCTCCAGGTGGTCAGCCACTTCCGCATAGCGCGGGGACTACTGCCCGTGTTCCTCCCAGGAATTCTGGGAAGTGTAGTCCGGGAGCCGAGTCCAGGCCTGAGCACTTCCGCCTCAGGAGGGCATCATCAATGCCCACTGGGAGGTGAGTATCCTTTGCGTCTGCTCAGGTCTTTCCTGGGTTGCGGGTGGAATACGGAGGTGTTGGCCCTAACTCTGGGGGAAAATAAGCCTTGGCGGCAGAGGCGACGGTCTGCGTCTCCCTCGCTTGTAGGGTTTTTGCACGTCCCTGAGTCGGGGGCGGGCCCCGGTCGCGCATCACTGCTTTGAGGTCTCCCCCGCTCTCGGGTCTCCTGTTTCCCCCGCTTTCCACACGCTCTGCAGCTCTCTGGCCGTGTAATCTTAGTAGTTACCCAACGACGCCGTTTCCCCTCTGCACAGGGGTTTATTTGTAGCCGACCTAGTAGGGGCTGGGAGGGTTATCAGAACCATCCTGGCACGGCTGCTGCCGGCGGCCAATTCCCGAGAAGCCCTCGGGTGCTGAGCTCCCTCCGCAGCGCCTTTGGTCCGGCTTTGAGCCTAATGACCCCTGGCCTGTGTCCCCCTTCTGTCGCATGCCTGGGGTCGCTCACTGGGAGTTATCCTGGACCAGGGACACAATCTCATATTCCATCCTCCTTTCCTTCCTCGGCCCCCACTTCTCAAAAAGGACTGCGGATAGTTGAAGGGTGTGACCCCTTGGCGACACCATCCAATGTGAGAGGTTGCATGCCATTTCTACTCCGTTATTATTCCTGAGCCACAGAGGAGGCCCAAGAGGATAATTCATCTACAGAATGTCACTCAGCCATCACTAGAAGTAAAGCCATCTGAAATGGCATGTCCCCATCTTTTTCTCCCTGACACCCTTCATCCTGATCTGTTGGTTGTTATTATTACTTGTCTCCCCACTGTAGTATCCATTTCATGGGCACAGGGACTTTCTTCACTGCTGTCTTTAATACACAGAATTGAAGATTTATTGAATGAAGAAACGAATAAACCTGGTCAGCAGTAATAAGGTGCTCAATTAATGTAAAATGTATCTTGATCACCTTTTCATGCAATCATTCATTTTTTTCAGCATCTCATATATTGCCTGCCTGCTGCATTAACGAATGCTCTACACTGGATAAAAAGCAGTGAACAAAACAAGGAGGCTTCCAGTCCCAAAGTGGGGATAGACTGAAAATAAATAAAATGTGCATTGGTATGTTAGAGAGTGAGAGTGCTAAATATATAAAGTGAATGGGAGAAGAAGGAAAATGGTGTGTGTGTGGGGGGGAGTGTTAAAATTATATAAATCATGTCCAGAGAAGAACACTTTGAGAAGATTATGAAACTATCTGATGGTGTTGTTAAAACTGATAGGGTTTACATCATCCAAAGCCCATGATTGACCCTTTTATGAACCACTTCATTTTTAAGGATGACCTTGATGTTACTCAGGCAAAAAAAATAAAATTTTAAAAGCCAAAGGAAGAAATGAGATGATACAGTCCATCCTCCCCTCCTCCCAGTTAGGGACAACCTCAGAGTTTTACAGCTTCAAGAAACCTCACAGATGAGTTTATACTGTCCATGTCTGAGTGTGTGTCTTCAGTCGTTCTTGGATTCCCTGTGTTTTGAGAACTTGCGACATTTTAGTTGCTGGGGACAAAAAGGTACCTAGGTGTTCCATGTTTCACAGGCAAAAACAGATGCTTAATCTCATCATTTCCCCAACTCCTCTGAAGACTTCTCAGCAGAATTACAGGATAAGAAAGGGAAGTGGTTCTCTGGGGAGGAAGAGTGGTGGGAACAGGGACAGGAGAGAACCTGGCAACCCAGGAATGAGCAAGGGCTGGGAACCTGGGCCTGGGAAAGTGCCCCTGCAGCTTGCCATGAGCAGGATTGCCGCAGTCTGGCTGGGCACAAATCACGAGCCACTGAAGCAGGAACAAACTTTATTTTTGAACTGCAGGAAAACACTTCACACAGCTCCCGGGGAATCCTCCCGAACACCGCGCTGCTTGTCCAGGAACCCCCAGCCGGAAATATCTCTCCCGGAAATCCCTCCTCCTGCACTTCCCCAACCAATGGGAACTCTCGGGGAATCCCCGGAAATCCCCACGAGAACTCCAAAATAGTGCGAGAACTCAAAAGTTGCGGCAGAGGCAGATAGTAATGCCTCGCCTGTCAATCAATACTGTTGGCAAAATGCCAGGGGCCATACAGACTCCGCCGTGGCTCTCAGCACAGGATGGAGCCAGGCCCTCTTGCTTTTCTCTCATAACTGCTGTGTGATGTCAGGTCTCCTTCAAAACCCTGCTACCAAGCAAAGCAGGAAGGTGCAGATGAATGAGGGCCAGGACAAAGGGAACTGGATGTTATGATGGGATAGTTTCCCCAAGCTTTTGAGAAGTGGCCACATTGCTTTTGTGCCTACTAGTGTGCCGCTGCTTGAAGCAGAAAGACCCAGGAACAACATCCATTCTCCTGTATTGAGTGCATCTTAACAACTTTCTGAAGTTGACTTTGTCGCCATGCCCGTTTTGTAGATGTGGTGATGGAAAGAGTCACAAAGAGCTAGTGAGTCAGGGGTCAGTGTTAGGATTCTGATGATCTGGCTTCAGCATCTCTCAGCAGAGTCCATGTCCTCCAGCTCCCCTTTTTCTGATCTGAAAGACACCCCAGTCATCTCTTCAGACTTAAAGATTAGAGAGGAAAATGAAGTCAGCTGGATTCAGATGCAGTCTCTCCTCACCAGCTCTGTCACCCTGGGTGAGGTAATCGCACCACTCCTCAGTTTCCTCATCCATTAAATGGGAACATCCCTTCTTGAGAGTTTGTATACTATGGCAGGCACTGAGACAAGATTTTTTTCTCCTATTTTAAAAATCAAGTTGTAATTCACACACATATAATCCACTTCTTTAAAGTGTGAAATTTAGTGTTCACTAGGTTGTTCAACCATCACCACTACCCGTTTCCAGAATACTTTCATCACACCAAAAAAAAAAAAAAAAAAAACCCAAAACTTACAGGTCTTATGCTTTACTACCTGCCCCCAGCCTCTGGCAGCAACTCAGACCCTGTGTCATGGATTTGCATAGCCAAGGCTGCTGATCAGCTCACTGAACACCCAAACACCGAAAGCACCTCTGTCACTTAGGATCTGTCATTACTCCTACAGTACTGTTCATTTAAATGAGACTGCTGGAGCTGGTGTGGTGGCTCAGTGGTAGAGCACTTCCTAGCTTGTGTGAGGAACTGGGTTTGATCCTCAGCACCACATAAAAATAAATAAATAACACTAAAAAAAGAATGCTTTTTTAAAAAAGTAACTGCTGTACAGTTTTAAAAAGTGACTGCTGAACATTTGTTTAAAATGAAAAAAAATCAACAGTCCTAGTTGTAGTTTTTCTTGATCACAGAGAGTGTAGGAGGAAGAGGCTGTACCACTGATACCATCCTAACTACACAAAGAAAATTGAGAAGTATTTGTACCTTTTATAAAACCACAAACTGATGTCAATTAAATATTACTACACAACAACACAGTACTAAGTAACATAGCCAATGGGACTCACAGACTGAAGGCAAAGACTAAAGGAATTTCAGAGGACACAGCATTGTACAGTCTATGAAATCTGGGTGTGATGATAGACTCCTTCATTGGACATGACAAGAGACATTCTCAGGGACAGTTTTAGGATGCACACTGCTGCTGTGCTGCAGTAGCAAGAAAATCAGGTGTAAACTTTTCCATCTACTCATACTCAAATCCCGTGAGGGAAGTACTATTTTTCTCAGTTTTACAGGTTACAAGTTTGGGGGAAAGGGAGGTAATTATCTTGACCAAATCAGCAGCGCCAAGATTTTACTACAGATCCTTTGGCTCCAGAGTTTGGTACATTCCGCTATCTTTTGTTTCCAACAACACCCAGGGAGAGAATGGCAAAAACCTTGAGAGCCACAAGGACTGTCCAGGGAGGCTTGCTGCTGAGAGTAGAGTAGATTGTTCATCGTGCAAGGGCCCCAGGATGCGGGGCCAGTGGTATGTGCTACTCTCCATTTAGAAATTCCCACAGAGCAGCAAATGGATTGGGGCCTGTCTCATGGCTTCTTTCCTCTTTCCCAGTTCTGACTTCCCAGGACTCTGCCCTTCCCCAGAAGGAGCAGGAGAAGATGACCAAGTTTCAGGTGAGTGGAGTTGGGATTTTCATCTCTTAAAATGACATCTCTCTTCTCAAAGATGAAACGTCTTTTTTTTCTTCCTTGGGAAAGACAAAGGAGGAAGATATATTTGTGACCTTCCAGTTACTTGGGTTTTTCTGGGGGGTCAATTCTTTAAATTTTTGTATTTAGCTTTTGTTTACTTTTTAGTTTTAATTGTTTTATCATCATCTTTATTCTGCAAATAATAGTGCAGAAACTCATAGATATCAAAAAATAGGGGGAAATACACATTACTATATTAGTTACAAATCATCTCTATTCTCCATACTATTTGCATACCTTTATAGATCTTGTATGTTTTGTATATGTATGCTTTTAAAAATATATTTTATGTAATTAAGTTAGTGTATGTAGTTTTCAATTTTTTTTAAATAGCATCACTTGAGTTTGTTATGATCCAGCATTTTTTATGTACCTGTCTCCAAAATTTTCCATTTTTAATGTAATCTTTCAGAGACTACCAACAAACATACACTGCATGCATCTAAATAAATTTGTTTTTGATTTGTAAGAATTTCACATGGGATTCTTTGAAATGAAATATAATTACAAAAGTCACACAGATCATAAGAAAGTGACAATCATACACCCGTTTGACAGCTGTGTTATTGCATTAGACCATCACCCAAAACAAGATACAGACATCTGTCTTTCCCCCCAAAACTTCCTTCGAGGGCTAGAGTTGTAGCTCAGTGGTAGAGCACTTACCTAGCATGTGTGAGGCACTGGGTTTGATTCTCAGCGCCACATATAAATAAATAACAATAAAGGCCCATAGACAAATTTAAAAAATTTAAAAATAAAAACTTCATTTGAGTCTCATTACAGGCACTTTCTTACTCCCCAGAGGCTACCCCTGCTCTGATACATCATCATGTATATTTCCTTGTTATCAAACTTGACATACTTAGTGGAATTGTGCAATACAGTCGTGTTTTTGTCTGATGTTCTTTACTTAGTACAGTGTCATTGCATGTATCAATTGTTCTCATTCCTGAATTGTATTATATATTATAAGTATGTAGCAGTTTATCCTTTTGAAGAATAAACATGATTCTTTTGAAGAGCAAGGCTTTTTGCAACTTAAATTGTTCCATGTAAAAGTGTCAATGTGCAAATGGTTGTATTTTCATGTCACGTGTATCACCCACATCCCACTTGGGTGATGGAATCAGGATCCCTCTGCATGGTGTGGGCTGGTGGTAAAAAGACCACACAGACACAAAAGTAATTTTTTCACAAAGCGGGGGTAAGATGTCTCTGCAATCTTAAGAGTCCTGCTGTCACACTGGAAGGCAAGAGAGCAAGAGAGAGTGTGCACCCAAAATCCCTTTATTTATAGGGAAATTAACAAAGAATTTTTGATAAATGTTTTTCAAATAAGGCAGGGATGGGCTGACCTAGCCCCAATGGGTAATGCCCAGGTCCAGAGCTATGAGAAAACAGACTTATTTCTTTGCTGAGTGAAGGTGGAGGCCACCTGTATCATGCAGCCCACAGCGTGCAATGGCAGACCAACACCCCCTTGGCTCAAGGCTGAGAGAGAATTCTAAACAGCTCATGGGCAGCTACCCACATATTCCCCCTTTTTACTTTGGAAGAGTAAATGATGAGCCATTATCTCAAGTTCCTGGATTCTTGTTCTGAGGGCACAACATCCTATCATCACAATACAAAAGAGAACTAATAGCATAGATAACATTGCAATAATATACCATGGATAATGTTTAAGCATGTTTCCAGGATTAAAGCCATTTAATTCTTGAAGTATATGGTCAGCTAGAGAGGTAGGATCCAAAAGATCAGTTTTACTTTTTTGAATATCCTGGATATGGTGATGTAACTCCAAAAGATCCAGGCTAGCTATTATTATTGCTCTACCAAATACTCGTTAGATGGTTTTTAACCTTTTTCCAATCCCATTGGGAAGTATTGTACTTGGCTGCAGTAACACAGATACATTTATAATCAGCATGGCACTTAAGCCTTTCCTAAACTTGAGAACAGAAAGCTCATTACCAATATTTATGACAGTGGCTTCTAGAGCATTCAATTTAGTTTCAATCTTTTCATCAATATTATCTGATTATGGAGGGCTTTGGAAGTATTTTGAGCCACATTGTAAGAACATTTGCATGTTGAATGTTTTGAGATATACCCACAGAGGCTGTAACCATAGAAGCAATGAATGAAATTAAAACAGACACTCCAAGGATTATGAGACCAAGAGCTCACTTAGGTCTGGTTAACTGAGCATGCATCTGTTGTAAAACCTGGGCACCAGCATCAGCATACCATTGTTCTAAAATGTTGGCTGGTAATAAGACAAAAGAGGGCTGGTGAAGGATCAGTGTTCCTTTCCCTCTGTTATATCTAGTAATGCAATTAGTTAAATTGCACTTTTTACAAGCTATAAGATATTCATCATCCTTTCTCTAAATTCTCACATTTCCAATAATTAGAGCATAAGGAGATTGAACACAGGCTTGCAGGCCATAGCAGGAACCCTCCGTACAGTTCCTGCCTATGAAATCAGGAATAGTGCAGGAAATCTGAGGCTGTAATTAAGCGCCAAACATCCTTCTAGAAGCAGCCTTCACTGAAGGTTAGGATATTACCAACAAAGACTTCAGGGTTCATGGATTCTTACATAATTGTCTTTGTCATTTCTAAGAGACCAGTCTAAAATGTACCCACTATTTCTAGAAACTTTATGTTGTACTCCAAGGCATTTGCACAATCCATCCATTTAGGAAAAGTGCCAAATTCCATTGCACAAAGGTTAGGACAGTGAGGTATTGGCGGATGTTCTGTGGAAATGACTGGCTTGTTATGAGACAGTCCCATTTTAATAACTGTTCTAACATATGGCTTTGAGTCCCAGGGGCCAGTGTGATTGGGTTCTGACCCAACTGTCTGCACAACTCATGTTCTTCCTTTAATAACTAACAGCAATAAAGTCATGGAATAGTGTCAATGACTTTTGAGGAGAATGATCTAGGTGGAGCCATTCAATAATTCCCAATGATTGCCATATTCCTCCTGTAGGAGTATGAACAGTGGGAAATGCTAGCAAGTATATAGGCTCCTGTGGATTAATTCTGGTAAGATGTGCAGTCTTAACAGCAGATTCAACCTTTTAAAAGGCAATCCTTGCTTTTGCTGTAAGTTGATGAGGAGAAGTTGGAGAAGGATCCCATTGAAGATCTCAATCAGAGGACTCAAATCTGCAGTGGTTAGTTTTAAACTTGGTCTCAGGCAATTGATATCACCTAGTCTCACCAGTGTCCCATGCTGACGAGATGGGCTGGGTTTAAAAGAGCTTGGTGGCAACATTAAACTAAGAAAATGGCAAAAAAAAGCACAGGACACAGAAGTAATTTTCATATTGAGGGTGGGACTGCTCTGTGATCTTAAGGGTCCTCTTCCATGTTGGAAGGCAAGAGAGCAAGTGCACCTGAATTGCTTTATTTATAGGGAAAAGACAATAAAGGATTTCAATAGAATATTCTACACCAAATAAGGCAGGGAATAAGGTTTCAAAGGTGGAGTCTTGCTTTGTGATATCTTGTGGTCAGCAAATTGACATTTTGGCAAGCCACACCCATTTCAGGTGCTGTGTGGGATCACAGGCAGAGTGAGAGGAGAAGGCGCACTTGCATCACACAGCCCAATCAGTGAGCACCCCAGACCTGTGCCCTCATTTATCTACAATGCGCATAGCTCACACATACCGCCCATGGATGGCTCGAGACATCCTAGTAACTTTTGAAAGTCATTAAGAGTATGTAAACCATTAACTCTTATTTGTAGATTTTGTGGACAAATTATGTGTCCTTCAATTACATTACCTAAATATTAAGAAGGAGAGGTCTTTTGTACCTTTTCAGGTGCCATGCATAAACCAATTGCAGTAAGTGAATTTTCTAATTGAGCAAAAATTTTCAAAATTACATCTGGACTAGCATGATCCAAAAGAATATCATCCATGTAATGGATAATATATACATCGGGGAATTCTTTTCTTACAGGAGCACTAGCCTGAGCTACAAAGTTCTGACAAAGCATTGGGCTGTTACACATACTTTGAGGCAAAACTGTCCAGCAATATCTTTTTATTTTATTTTTTTTTAAATTTTTTTTAATATTTATTTTTTAGTTTTGGGCGGACACAACATCTTTGTTTGTATGTGGTGCTGAGGATCGAACCCAGGCCGCACGCATGCCAGGCGAGCGCGCTACCGCTTGAGCCACATCCCCAGCCCAGCAGCAATATCTTTTTAAAAAATATATTTTTATTAGTTGTTCATGGACACTCATTTTATTTACTTATTTATACGCAATGCTGAGAATTAAACCCAGTGCATTGTACATGCTAGACAATCATTCTACCACTGAGCCACAACCCCAGCCCTCCAGCAATGTCTTTTAACTGGTTCTTTGAAACTTATAGCCGGAATGGTAAAAACAAATCTCTGACAATCATCTGGATGCAGTGGGGTAGTGAAAAAACAATCTTAAACCTATTACCATTGAAAGATAATCAAAAGGGATGGCTGTAGGAGAAGGAAGCCCAGGCTGTAAAGCTCCCATGGGTTCTATAATGTGATTAATTGCTCTAAGATTTTGTAATAGTCTCCATTTGCCAGATTTTTTTCTTAACTACAAAAACTGCTGTATTCCAGCAACTAAAAGTAGGCTCTAAGGCCAGCTTGAGGTTGTTCTTGGACTAAAATATTGGCTATTCAAAGTCTCTCCCCTGTTAAGGGCCAGTTAACCCCGATGGGCTTTTCTGTTAGCTAGATCATTTTTTTCTGCTGTTTTCCGGGCTGGGGAGGAAGTCAGCTCCCTCATTAAGAACTTTGATTGGGTGAATTAAATTGAGTCATAGGTAAATACCCTCTTGCTGATTCCCTTTTAATCCTTTAGGAGAAATAGAACCTTGATTAAACATCTGAGGTGAC